AACAGCTCAGACCTGAGCCGAAAAAACGCATATACGTTCAGAGGTAGGCCACAGGCAAATAAGACAATCAAAACGTACATCCTGATCGTTTCGAACACGTTTCGAATCGGAAACATAACTGCGAAGGCGGAACGGTTCGTGACGAACGCAGGAGAAGCAGTGAACGACAAATTGATATTTTCATAAGTTTCACCCTGATTCGTGCGATTCCAATCTTCGGTCATGTCCATGAAAAGCCTAGAAAGGAAATCGTTTACTACGCGCCATTAAAAATTGATAATTAAAGTCTTGAAAATCAAACGGAAAACGTTTTGGGCAGACGTCAACATCCCTAAATTCCAATAATCGCACAATCAAGCCACCACGTGCTTTTGTGCGATCACTCATCTCGCTATGAGATGCCTAAATTCGACTCCTGCTAAAGTCATAAATAAAACGCTTAATAAAACGCGGTTACTGCATCGGTATAACCATGTTATCATCACTAATCAGTGGACAACCTGACTGTTCAAAATTTGGTGTAAATGCTCTCTTATTACTTGCTAATTCCCTTGAGCATGGAATTAACTGCAGCGTGCTTCTGCGCAATCAGTCACAGCACGGGTAGCAAGTCCTCGACCTGCGAATAATGGGGCAGCGTCGTGTTGTGGCGAGGTGATGCCAAAGCATGCGAGACGTACCGCCATCCAATCCGACGTGTGCGTCTTCCGGCGGATATTCACTTTGACTCACCTGACTGCCTATATTCACCTAATCAGCAAAGGGTGAAACAAATTTGTTTTAAATTTAAAGCAATTAAGAAGACAACTCTTGGTCTGAAAGAGTTATTTTGTTTGCATTCACGATTCCTTTCCTCAAAAGACTCAAGGAAATTTCAAACGTAATCTCTGGCATCATCAGACGGTAGCTGATGTCGTGCCACATCAGAAGTCCGAAGAATGAGCAAAAGCGACTCCATGAATGCTTCATGTTTGAGAAGTAGCACAGCAGATGCAGATGCTGCGTACACACCATCCAATTACCAACGGAAGACTGAGACCAGAGTAGCATCAGGCTCAAGTCGCAAGGTTCACGGGAAGATTTGCCTCGAAAGTTCAAACTCAAACCTCGTAGCACGTCCTGCACTCGTTACATTTCCATAAAGTACCGTTGTTTATCATAAATGCCAACTAAATATGGAAAAATGGAATCAAAACTTCAGTATTTGATTCATGCCTTGGTATTATATCGAAAAAACAGCATAACAGCGTTTGTTCTTTAAACAGTAGAACGTAATACGCGCTTTGTCGATCGATAGACCAAGACCGATATTTCGACCTGCATCTCCAAGTGAAAGGGCAAATGATACTGCTTCCCAGCGGACGACTTCCACAGAGGCCAAAAACTACTACCTGTTTTACCTTGAGGAAAGCCGAAGTTGGGTCGGCGTTGGTATTCATACTGAAAACGGTACAAAACATACTATTTATTTAGGCACAACGAACACAATTTGGTCCATCGAGTGATCGACCGGCACCAATGTTTTGGCCCTTGTCCCAAGTGCCTTCATCGACTTAGAGAGGTAGAAGTGCTTCAGAGGTAGTTTTTGCTGTTCGCAGTAGTTTGTACGTTCTGAGTCAGAAGGACAACTTTAGGGCAGATGAATTTTCTCCTGTGTGATGAGAAAAGAACCATCGAATACCCTTCGAGTTCGTGTTCTTTGCCACGGTTGACGCTGTCGCAAAACCATCGAAGCACTCACACCATCGAGTGACGGAAGGAGTCGTTTTGGGGCTGCCATTTTGGTTTAGACCGCTGACTGGTGTCAGTGCTTGGTTCTGCTGTCGCTGCATTGAATATGTATTACTGGACAGTGGTCAGCTGCATCAATTGCGTAATTGAGCCCATCATGCTATATATCAATGGATAGCTCTCGATGAGTGCAGTACGTCGCCATTGTCAAAATATTGAATTTCCTGTTATAATTCCATTTTAACGATTATTAGATGTCAGTATGTCAGCGGACATCTGCGGGCAGGAGTGTGAATTATTTCATTGGTCATCTTTATTAATGATTCGACTTCTCCCACCATATAGTCTATCAGTGGAAAGCTCCCTGAAAGCCATTGTCAAAATATGAATATCGATGATTTTACATTCGTTGGATGACCATCGTGTTTCGAAAGCGGCATATTCATCCTCAATATACTCTATTACTCGCGCGACCAGTATCCGTGAATGTAACATGCGCTCCATGTTGGCAGTGGTGAAAATCGCAGTGGCAGCACCCCATTGACTGCATGGTTTCTGGAGGATGCACAGAATTTGGCAATTAAATCAAAATTCCTTGAATTCGAATAATTGGCTGAAGCTCCGCAATGTGTAAATAGAGAACGACCCATCGGTAAGCAATGGAATTTAAGGAAAACGAACAAATGATTGAAATGGATCTTTGCAAAGTGCAGAGTCCTAATTTTCAGGAAAATGACTGTCCAGTGATTTTCTGACCTGTAGATGACCTACACTACG